TCCCAGTCTCTTACCGGACAAGAGTCCTTGTGGCCCTTACCACCAGCACAGAACATACTCTCATGATAGAACTCCTCATATGCTGCTCTGCAGGACTGCTCTGATACCACAGGAATAAGCGCACACTGCAGAGTGTCAGAAAAATGGCCTAAAAGTAAGGACACAGGGTGAGAAACACTCCTGGGCAGAGACAGCCACAGGTATCTGTGAGCCCAGAGATAGGGACACCAAAACTCACCTCTCAATGTCCGCCCCCAGCCAGAAACCGAGCACATGGCTCCAGTTTCTGGACATTTGGTGGCAATTCGGATGGTCCGAATGGTGTCTGATTGCTCAACTGGTTTGCTCAACTTGATGAGCATGACATCATTGTCTTTTGAAGGTGCGACGTATTTTGGATGCTGCACGGAGAAATTGGCCTCAATCATCTGGCTGCCTGTTTCATTCCAATCGTCAACTCTGTGCAGGCCCAGCCCAATGGTGTAGGAGCTGAGGGCAATGAAAGTCAGTACCATAGTAACAAATCCTTTCTTCAGGCCAAACTCCACTGCAGACCCAAATCCAATACTAGCCTCTCCCCCGACTCATCCTCAATGTCGGTCCTTTTGGAGACCACTAGAAAATGGCTCTGAGCAGGATTTAATATTAACCACTCAGCTTTCCATGTTTACTTGTGAGTTGTTTGAAGCTTTGGCACCCTGTCTGGGGATGGGCAGTGGACTCATAGTAAGTAAACCTCTATGAGTCAGTGGTCACCCTGAGCCCTGTATTGACCTGTGAAGCTGTGATACCTCAAAGGACAAGATAAGGCCACAGCTGAGGACGTTTGGCTCCAACCCCAATTAACTACAAGGAGACTGCAGCTGCAGGCTCCACACTCCTACAATAAATACTAACCTAAACATAAATTACTTCTCCTGATTCACATAATTTACAATTGGGAACATTCTCCCAAGGTCCTGAGTGTCTTCCTCCCTTGTTTGAAAACCAAATAAATTCGGGCTGCCCAGAGAAGTCTTTGTCTAAACCCAGAGAATATCTAAGCTGTAAGAGAGTTAGACCCTCCTGGGGCCCTGAAATCATTTCAGTTATCTCATTTATCTAAGACTTCTCCGACCACTTGCTTGGGAGATTGCGGGCCTGATCAACCTGCAAAAACTAAGGTTTTTTTTTAACGTGATAAGTTCCATCCCCATTCCCATTCCAACTTCCACCCCGCCCAGACCCATCCCCGGTGCCAGCCTCATCCCTACTTTGACTGCGTTCAAATCCCATCCTGATCCCCACTCCCAGCTTCACCCCAGATCCCAACAATTAGTGTTGGGGTAAGAGAAGCATTGTCTAAGGTGTTAATTGAGGGAGGCACGAATGCAGAAAAAGAAAGATGAATAGTATTTCAGTATAATATTTTTAAATGCAAAATTAATGCGAAAACTCCACGATGCACAAAATACTAGAAATTGAGGGAAGACAGCATTTGAGGTGCACCTTGCCCTCGCCCTAGCCCCACACCCGCAGGATCCTGTTTATTTCAAATGTGGATATTTTGTTCATCATGGATGTTTGCATTGTATTAATTTGTTTAAAATAAGACATTAACATATTTCTCCAGATATAAGCTTTTGCCTCGTCTCTCTCTATACCGTGCCCTGCAGCCAAATGCATACCTCAGTCCCCATCCACCTGGCTCTGTCCTCACTTGTCTCCCTCGCCTTGCCCCAGGGCACTTGTCCATACCACCTGGCTCCTAGAGGCTGAACTGAGATCCAAGCCCACCCGTCTCAAGCCGTTTCCTCCTCTGCACTTTCATACCTGGGTCAACCCCAGGGTCCTGCGTGGTTTCTCTTCCCACATGCGGGATCCTTCAGACTCAGCAAAGCGATGTGAATGTTCCTCCAGCCTGGGGAAGTGGATCCCCAGCCAGGCCTTCCATGGACTATAACTCCAGCCTTGCTCCAGGCCTAGTGCTTCAAATTGTCATTCCTGGCCAAGTCCAGCCTCTGGTGCTGGGGTTCACTCCCTGGCCCAGCCCCTCTGCAGTGTTGGAACCCACCCTGGCCGAGACTTGCCCTGTCTGCTCAAACTGAGCCTAGGCCCTGCCCCTCACTGCAGTGCAATGTCAGACCTTAAGCCCTGGCCACAGTGCCCCATCCAAGAGAAGACCTGCCCCAGCATACCTGGTCTAGCCCCCTCCTACCCAACCCCCGCAGTCACCACCCTCTGCACCCCCTCACCTCCTCCAGCAGTGTGCAGCTGACAGCACCCACTTTCGATGCACCAGGACTCCAGAGCATTGCAAAGAGCCATTGTAGAACAGGGCCACCTGCCAGGGCTGAGAGTGTGGAATGCAATCAGAGCCACCAGAGATGCGTTTGCTGACCAGGTGCAGCTCATCTTGGAAGTGACTGGTGTTTACGTTGTGAGGAATCTCAGCTTCTGCGGGCAGGATGAGCACACAGCGGACCCAGTGGGTGGGTGGGGTCTGGTGGGATCCGGTAATGGATCCGGCAGGGGATGGGAGGATCAGGGTTACGAAAGCACAAGTTATATCAGGAGGGACAAGCAGGGACAAGGTCTGGGCTCCACCTCTGGGGCTCAAGCAGGGCAGTTCCAAGGTCAGACCCTTCCTCTGAGCCTGAGGCTTCATGCTGTGCTCCACCACCCCAGGGGCATAGACCTAGTGTCACCACACAGGCACTCTTCCCCAGGAGGGGTCTTTGTGCCAAGCACAAGACAGAGGCCACTGCACCTCGGATTCTGTCTGCTGGACACACAGAGTGGACAACCTGGCACAGAGGACAGTCCCTCGGGGAACACTTCTTACCCTGCCTGGACCCCAGCCCTCTGCAGGGCCACCTTCCCCGGGAGCTCAGGAGCGGTGACCTCCACAGGGAGGGAAGCAGCTGCCACCTGCTCTGCCAGCTCGGGCAGGAGGCCCATGCACAGTGCCATCCCTCTGCTAATTACAGCTAACATCTGGACACTCCCCTATGGGCCAGAGTCTGGGGAGGATGTGGGTTTATACTATAGTATCACACCCACTTTTAGATTACTGTGGGAGGTGGGCATACTGAGGCGCACAGACATCAGGACTTTGCCCAGGTAAGAAGTAGCATAGTTGGGTTCTGAATCCAGTCACTGTCTCTCCACAAGCTATGTCTACCGTGGTGCCATGAAGACCCCCAGGGACCCTATGGACAGGGAAGCATTACACATTTTGGGTGCACATAGGCTCACATGCATCCCGAACTGATACCTGCAGCTGTGTGGATGATGCATCCCAGGAAACAGAGCCAGAGGGCTTCTGCTGTGGTCCCCATGTCAGCACCTGTGGAGGAGACCTGCTGAGTCTGAGGCCTCCCCTACAATTCCAGGAGCAGCTAGAAAGGACCCTGTCCAGCCTGGACTCCGAGATCCTGCCCGAGGAACAGTCCCATAGGGCAGAGTTTCTCACCCTCTGGCTTGCTGATATTTATCCATCCTCTGCTGGGGTGGACCCAGGATGGTAAGCCTTTGTGCTGGGCCCTGCACAGTGTACTCCACAGTGTTTTACACCCTGTGCCAGCTGCTGCAACACCCCCCTCGGTCTGACCATAGGGACAGCCAAAAGGCCCATTCATTGTCCAGGTCCTGGGAGAAGACAGTGTGAGCTGTGCCTGTGAGGACAGAGGCGGCAGGGAGACTGAGGAATGAGGGGCAGTTAGGGACAGGGACAGAGACAGAGACGCCAAGACTGAGGCTGAACCCTGGAGCAGGGAAGCTGGGGCCCAGACACAGAAGTCTCAGGTCATGAAGCTGAAGGAGACTGAGATGGAAATCAAGGTGCTCTCAGTGCACAGATTCAGGCACAGCCCTGTGCCAGGCATCGCACTAGCAGGAGACCCACCGTGACTCAGTTTCACAGCCATCTCAGGTGCCAGGTCCTGATATTGTCCCCATTCCATGGAGGGTGCAGAGACAGACAGGCTGAGTAACCAGTGGAGAGGGCACTAGAGTCTGTGCTCTTAAAACCTCCCTGGGACCGCGCACGGTGGCACTGACTGTAATCCCAGTGCTCCGGAGGCAGGAGGATCGCAAAGCCCTCGCTGTACACTGAGTCAAAGCGATGCTCTAAGGGGGAGAAGGAAACACACACCCAGCAGGATAGAGACAAGAAAGAGGCAGGAACTCAAAGGGCGGGAAGCACAGAGCAAGCCTTGTGCTGGGAGAACGCAGGGTTGTTCACCTGGCTTCAGCTGCTGGGGCTCAGGGCTCTGCTGTCCCGTGTGGGGCTGTGATCTGTGGGCTGCTGACTCTCAGCCTTGGTAGGTCTTATAAGGATTGGGATGGAGGTTGACCTGCCTTGGGGCTCCTGGAACATTAGAGACAGAAGGTGGAAATGTTAGAGTCACCCGTCACTTCTCTGGACACATGACCTGCGGCTTCCCTGATTCTAATCAGATCAGGGCAGAGGGAGCAGGGCTCTGGGCCGTGAGGAAGGAGAGGAATGTGCGTTCAGGCCATGAAAGAAGCAACCACCTCTGGCCAGTGTCTCAACCTGTCTCTCAGTTCTGAAGCCCCCAATTCACTGCTCTTTGCTACTGTTTGCTTCTCATCTCATGGACCTTCTGATTTGGATTCTTTGCCTTTGAGGCTCTTTCTTGTATATTAAATCTACATTAAATTAGGCAAATGTACATGGAATCAAGACAATCTGTGCCCTGGATTGAGTTCAGCATCTTCTCACTGAGCAGCACCCCAAAGCATGTTTCTTAAATTTTATTTTGAATCAGAGTCTCATTACTTTGTCAAGTAGCCCATGCTGGGCTCAAACTTGAGATCCTCCTGCCTCAGGTTCCCAGTGCACTGGGCTTACAGGCATGAAGCACCACAGGGAGTGTATTTTTCTGTCCTAGGCATCTATCAGGCCTGGTGTGACACACACTACCCAATTCCAGCCACACCAAATCCCAAATTTTTGAACATCCCAGGCAGGTTGGTACCAGCCTTAGTCTGTGAGCTAGCTATTCCTTTTGCCTGATGTCTCCCTGGGTCATTTTCTTTCTCCTCTAAAACCATGTGCAAGTGTGCAGGGCTCCTAGCCTCAGCCATGTCTCACACACCCACCCAGCCCCTCCTCAGCTCCATGTAGCTCAACTCAGTCCGAGCTCAACGGAGAGTTAGAAGCGGAGTGCACTGTGAAGGATGTGACCCAGGTCCCTCAGGCTGAGGGTTCAGGGACTCAACACCGGCCCAGCCTCACAAGCCAATCACAAGCCCCCATTGTCACCTGCCCTTCTGACCCACCAACCATCAATCTGTTTGTCCATCCCAGGCCCAGGCATCTGTTAGCCTGGCTCACAGAATGTGGGGAGACGCTGCACTTTCTGGTGTATTATTTAATAAAGGGTAGGTGAAAAGTTACAACTGAGAGCCCAGTGATGAGTTCCAGGATGAGGCCAGGAGGGTCACTGCACAGGCTGGATCTCGAGTCCCCACACAGCTGGGCTGGGTCTTTAGCCCGCTGGGACCCTGAGTGTCTTCTGAGACCCTATCACCTGGGCCCAGCTGGCTTCTGACTCCATCTGCAGCTCTGTCCCCTCCAGTGGTCAGGGAAGGGCCGGGGTCCTCACCATGGCCCATCTTGCTGTGCTCTCTGAGAGTCTCCTCATTGTTCAAATATGCTCCTGTTGTCAATGCTCAGTGTGAGGACTTGCTTTAGAGATAATGGGACAGCATGAGATGACAGGCACCAGCCTTACCCGCAAGCTATGAGGAGATGAAGATTTTTCCCTAATTTTCATTTAATATCTTCTGTTTGTGTTGGGATCCCATGCTCTACTATATGTGTAGCCGAGGACCTTTATTATCATACTCCACATATATTAGGCTCCTATGGTCACATTTCCCTGCAGTTTTACCCTGGGTCTCAGCACTGTTTTCCTCTCTGGATTCTTCCCTTTGCAGGGCTGTTAGCTCCACCCTCTGGTACCTGCTGGAGTGGGTCCTTGCTGTGGTGATGATGAAAATAGAAAACAACAGCATGAATGTCCGGGTAAGGGCTTTAGTCATGAGTGAGAGAAGATGGTCAGGGCATTAGCTTGAGGCACTGACAAACATCAAGTGGGTCCTCTGACAAAGGACAGTAGGAGCAGTCAGGGCAGAGGCTTCCACTGGATTAAGGGCAGTGGCTGCATGTCTGAAGAGCAGCCCATCCTGGCACATGGGGGTGCTACGGGCTGGGGTCCTGCTGATGCTGATCTCAATCATGGCTTCTTCAGTCAGGCTGAAGTCTTGTGACCTGAGGGACAGTTTGATTTGTATAGGATGACTGTCTTCTCTTGGGGTGGTTCCAGTCAGAGGAGGCTGTTAACCAAGGTGACCTTAACTTTAGGGGCCTGGAGATTTTCTCAGCATATTTGACATCCTGGAAAATGTCTTCTGCTGTTGTGCTGGGTCTTCAAGGGCTATGAGCTAAACTGGGTAGATTTAGGGCTAAGAAACCTTGTTGTGTTAGCTTTTCAACAGCTGTTCCCTGACTGAGGGATGTGCCTGTATGCACAGTGAGAAGGGCGTGACTCAGAGTCTCACAAAGCAAAGATTGAGCTTTGCTTCCTTTTTGTTACCCATTGAGCTGCTGGAGGCCCGAGTGAGGAGTCATCCATTTTAGAAAAAGCCACTTTGAAGTCCTCGACTGTCCCTGAAGAAAACATGAATCATGTTTTTGATGAGTCACAGATCAAAGGTGGTGTGATTTATTTGTCCTCTGTCCCTGGGGTCTCCGTGTCTCCCTCTTTCTGCTTTCCAAGTGTCTCCACAAATCCTATGTAGTTTCTGCTTCTCTCTCCCTCTCTTTCTCTCTCTCTGTCTGTCTCTGAGTATTTTCTTGTCGCACATTTTACTTTTCACCGATATTCTTTTCAGCTTTGTCCTTGTGTCTTTTTGCTTTTTGAGAGTTTAAAATCAGAGTTTTACAATGATATTTTTAATTTAAATGTAATGTTTTCTCTTTAATTTAGATTTTCTGCTCATTCTTGAAAGCATCTTCTGAATTCTAGATCAACTTTGTTCACACTCCTCTAATTCTCTCTGTTTTCTTCTCTCACTTTGGCTTTGCCAATCACAATGTACACAAAACCGTGCAACTGTGTGTGTGTGATGAATCCTTAATGTCCATTTTCTGTCTTTAACAGTTGCCCACTGTAGCTGTGGTTTATTCTGAATACAACAGTTCCTCTCTTGATCATTCTAGAGCCCCAAATCTGCCAATTATTCTGCTCACATGCAGCCCTGATGATTTTCCTGCTCCTGCATCAACTCATTTTTGGCTTTCTGGCAGTGTGAGCACCTGTATCAGGATTGTGAATGAGTTTCTCCTGACGATATGTACTTCTTCTTTTGTCCAGAAAGCATGGTTGCCCTGGCCCTGTGGCACCCCTGGCCAGGTCCATGTAGGCATCCCAGGCTGTCCCGTGTTGCCTTCACTCCGTCCCCAGGCTCCTCTTCCTGGTGGCAGCACCAGCTCCCTGGACAGATGCACTGTCCTGGCTGATCTTCCTCTTGGTCTGAGCTTTTGAGCTTGAGGCTCCTGCAACTTTCCCCTGTCATCAGGTTGCATGACCTAGAACCTAAACTACAAGTCCTTCATGCAGGCCACAGACTCCAGACTTAGGGTTTTGGGTCAACCTTCAGGCCTGG